CCCCGCCGCTCCTCCCTCCCTCCCGCCTCTGCCCCGCCCGAGGGGAAGCCGCGGGGAGGGTCTCCGCTCCCCACTTGGGGCCGGGTCCCATCCCTCCACCCGGCCGGGGGCAAAGCAAGACCTCCCTGGACTCCCACGGGAAGGGGTTTTTCCCTTTTCCCCAGGAGCCTGGGAAGGACCTGAGGGCATCCTAACGCGCCCTGGAAGGGATGCGAGTTAGAAGAGAAGGCAAGGTTTACACCCAGGCTCCCACCGCTTTGCCCATGTGTGGTGGGCGAGGGCGCAAAGAACGGCGTTTCCATGTACGCCCTCTGTCACCCTGGGATTTTTCCTGGCATTTGAAGGGCTTGCTCCCTCCACTGTCCTTACAGCTACACTCTGACTGCCATGGTCCGTGGGTACCCGTACCACTTACCTGTCTCCCTTATCTGTACTTCCCTGTCTCCCTCCAAGGCCTTCTTCAGAGATGGCTACCTCCGTCCCACCCCGATCCTATTGCCACCTGGAGTTCAGTAATACCTATGACCTCTGAAAGATATGCCACCAAGACAGTAGCCACAGAAACAGTTCCTAAGATTCCTTTGGGCTCTCTGCCTCAGTTTGCCCCTCTAAAATAGGGAAATAGTAAGGGATAGCGTCTATAACACGATGGCCCTCCAAAGAAAGCTTCCATAGTCAAGGCTGGTTTTATGATGATGATCTTGACTGCTAGTGATTACAATAATCAGCTCAGTGTGGTTTGATCTATCTTGCTGGTTACCTCTGGACAATTTTTAGAGCCCAGACTGGCATGCCTCCCACCTAAACCACCTCCATCACACCTCCAACTTGTGCTCTGAGAATGCAAATTCACTCTAATATTAGTTTCTGCAAAATATGATTAGGAAGAGAAATGTATTGCCCAAAAAAAGCGCCAAGTACAGAATGAGTTTTGTATTGTCTGAAGAATGCTTCTCATCTATTCATGCATATAATTGGAAGCTGCCCATCATTTTGTTTGTGATAAACATGCTTTCTGACCTGGTCGATGTGCAGTAAGTGCTTGGTTGTTGAAGCTTCCCCCACTTCCTCCTGAATCTTCCTACAGCTGGAGAAGAGGTTAACAATGACTGAAGGTGCTACCTACTTCACACGTCCAGTTAGAATTCACCCTCCATGAAACAGAAAGTACTAGATTGAATACATATTTAGGAAATAAACTAAGCAATGTTAAAGTGTGTTCTTTATCCTCTGTGTACTAGAGTCCCTGCACCAGAGAGACGCACAGAATGAGAACTCCGTGCAATTCCCATGGCAGGCCAGGGCCTCTCCTACCAACACCCTGAGAGCCTCCAGAGAGCCACCTGTGTGCCAACTGCTGGTTGGCATCACCTTCCACATGTCCTGGCCCCAGACACATCCCCAGAGCAGGGTGGAGTAGGAAAACAGAACTCCCCTCCACCCAAAGTCACTGGGCCTGTGACTATGAAGCCAGTCCTCTTTCCCCCTGTGAAGAAAAAGCCAGCTCTGCATGGAAACCTCAACCAGGTTGGACTGTGGGAATTCCAGGGTGTAGGGTTCGAGGTGGGGCAGGAGTCTCCTGGACCAGTGCAGGCGATTAAGTCGCATCCCCCCTCCCCCCACTCAGTAAACAGTTCCAAGCAGAGTGGCTGCTTTACTGGGAAGATGCCCTCGATTCCCAGCCCTGCTTTCTGCAGAGTTCCTTCCTTTTCTTCAAACCAAAGTCCTTCCAAATCACCTCACCTCTCAGGCTGTCCCAGTCAGAGCCCCACTCACTCCTCTCCTATCATCAGAGTTCCTCCAAATCCCCACCTCCTCAGAAGCCAGTGCCTCACCCCACCCCATTCTCCTCAGGCCCTTTGTCACTGTCACACCACCTTATCCCACTTGGGCTGTCTGGGGGCCTTGGCGGATCTCTCCATCAGATCAGCCTGTGAGGATCCCCGGCGGCTTCTCGCCCCCTGCTCAGCTCCCAGCTTTTTCCCTACCACCAAGCTCCAGCCCTCAGTTTGTGCCCCAACTGTGGCCGATGCCAGGTCTTCTCCACAGCCAGCTCTAGCCAGGCCCGTCCCCGGGTCCTCCACTCCACCCTTCCTGCCAATCAAGACAACCACAAACCCCTGGCTCCCTGTCACACTTCTTCACTTTTGCTCAGCCCTCCAGTACCAGATCCTGGAAAACAGGGCCTCATCCCAAGGCTGGTTCCCCCACTAGCAAGCAAGGAGTTGCAGGCGGCCCACTTCCTGTCCCCAGCTGTCAGCACCCGGCAGCAACAATCTCACCACACAGACAGCCTCCCACTCCCCTCCTCACATCCTCCCATCCCAGCCCCGGGGGAGGCTGTTTTCCTTGCTTCAGGTGACTTCTCAAGGCAGGCCTGGGTGGGAAGTTTTTCCAGAAGTCTCCTGGCCTCTTTCTCTCTCTGCTCTCTCCTTTCCTTTGTTTTATACACACACAAACACACACACACACACACACACACACACACACACACCAACCCTCTCTGCTTGTATGCATGCTGCAGCTTGGAGCTACTGGAGTGATTCTGCAGAGTGGTTCAGAGCTAGCGTTCATTCTCCCTCATCACTGGCTGGCTGGACTTCCACGCTGCTCTCCTGCTGGCGGGCCTGGGCAGTGCCCTGCCACGTGCCAGGCCGTGTGGCTGCAGCCTGCGGGCCTCCTGGCAGTGTGGAGGAAGATTCCATTCCAGGATCTCCTGCCCCTCTACCTCAGCATTTCTTCCCTTACCAAAGCCTTCTTGTGACTCCCCTCCCCCGTAACATAAAGCCCCAGACCCCGTACCCAAAAGGCACCCTTCCATCCGTCCCACAATCACCCTCCTGCAGGCTGTCGAAGGCTGTTTCCTGAAACTGGACAGATACCTGCTAGGGAGCAGGAGGCCTTTCTGGGGAAAGAGAAAGGAAAGCACACCCGAAACAGGCTCCCTGGCCAGTCCCTCTAGCTCCGAAGGCCCCTCCCCAGGGCCAACCCAACGTCTGCAAATCCCTCTCAGCCCCTCCTTCCACCTGCGGCTTCCCTTTCCTTCACAGGCAGCTTTTCCTTCCAACTCTTTGCAGGGTACTAACCCCTCTCCTGGAACACTAGAGTCTCTTTGGGGAGCCTACCTCATGGGCCTTGTGACATGAGCTCCGCCCCCACCCCGCCCCCAGCAGCAGGCAGTCTGAGGCACGGGCATCCCTACCCTACACTTGGGGCCAAGTTCAGAACCAGCCTTGAGCAAAAGCAGAGCCATTTTAAGATACACAGTCTAGGCCAGGAGCGGTGGCTCAGCCTGTAATCCCAGCACTTTGGAAGGCCGAGGCTAGAGGAGTACCTGAGCCCGGAGGTTCGAGACCAGCCTGGGCAAGTTGGTGAGACCTCATCTCTACCATAAATAAATAAAAACAATAAGCTGAGAGTGGTAGCACGCACCTGTAGCTCCAGCTACTTGGAAGGCTGAGACGGAAGGACTGCCTAAGACCACCAAGCCAAGGCTGTAGTGGCCGTGAGCATGGCACTGCACTCCAGCCTGGGCAACAGAGGGAGACTTCAACTCAAAAAAAAAAATCGTCAGCCTCCCTGCCCAGAGGTTAGGGGGCATCACCAGGTCCCCAGAGGGGGTAGGAACCTTCTGGGACTTTTTTCTCTCAGACTGAACAGTCTTCTTTCTTTTCTTTTCTTTCTTTCTTTTTTTTTTTTTTTTTGAGCTGGAGTCTCACTCTGTCTTCCAGGCTGGAGAGCAGTGGCATGCTCACAGTCACTGCAGCCTTGACCAGCTGGGCTCAGGTGATCCCTCTGCCTTGGCCTTCCAAGTAGCTGGGACTACAGGCACACACCACCTCCCCAGGCTAATTTTTTGATTTATTGTAGAGATGAAGTCTCACCAAGTTGCCCAGGCTGGTCTCAAACCCATGGGCTCAGGCAAACCTCTCTCCTCATCCTCCCAGAATGCTGGGATTATAGGCGTGAACCATTGCGCCCAACCAACACTCTTCTTTCTACTGCCTTCACCAGAAAAATGCATACTCAAATTTTAGCATAGAAATCATTTCCTCTAGGAAGCCTTCCATGAATGCCCCATTGCCAAGTCTGGGTTTCCTGTTCTTCCCCTGTGCTTCCCTAATAATACCAATCACACCATGGTCTAATTGAGTCTCTCTCTCCCTCTCCCTAAAGAACTCCTTTAAGGAAGGGTCAGTGTTTTTTCTAAAGGATATTTTCATGCTGGTCTAGTGCCTGTCATCTAGTGCCTCCATAAGCTCTGAATAGATGCTCAATAATTGCTTGAAGGATGGATGAATGAATGTTTGGGGAGGGGGAGTCGAGGGGGGGGATGACACCACACAGTGGCTACTCACTTGTCCTGGGAGGTCTTCCGCGGGCTGTACTGGCCTTTTCTGTGGGCTGCCATTGCTCTTCGTTCCCTCCAGGCTCCTGGTTGGGGTGGGTGGAGTGAATGAAGCAGGGCAGGGGGGACAGAGGGGAGAAGCACAATGTGAGTTCCAAAGGTCGGTCAGTCCCAGTAGAGGGCCTGACTCAAGGGCAAGGGAGTGGTCCCTGCGGTCTAGGCCCAAAGATGAGAT